CTTTCATTGAACTCCTGATCTGATGAAGGAGGAGTATATATTACGAGAGTCGATCTTAGTACTTTACTCTTTCCAATCTGTGTAAATGAGTATTGTCAAAGCAACTTATTTCTTTTGTGTGAGACTATTTGCTGATGACCAGGAGAGGACACTTCTTTTAACCATGGCTGGCAGAGATCTAGATGTACACTTTATTTTTTATAAGAATATGTTTTATAAGAATATCGAGGCTGACTCTTTACTTTGCAATTTTTTTTTTAATATTTTAAGAATAAACCCGAGGCTGAGATTTTGAAAAGAGTAGATTTTTTGTCTAGAAAATTTGTAAATACAATACACTTATACGTTTTTAATTAAACCGTATAAAATTGTTCCTTTTCTCACGACAAAACTAGCCAAAAAGCAACAAAACAGCTGACTAACCGTATATGTTCGACGCTATAATCTAAGAATATTCACAAGAATATTCGGCAGCCTAAAAACGACAGAAAAATAAGAATATCCAGCCTCGGACGGAAAAACAACATTTTTATATCAAAATAAAGAGTGTATTACCTCAGAGAAAAAACTCTGAATTGATTAAGCGGGACAAAATACTTGGTTTTCAGCCAAGACAAAAAAATTAACGCGCAGAGATGTCAGTAACACCTTTGCCGTCCTGGAATGGGTTCATAGTACTTAATAAAACTTGGTAACTATGTCTTGTTCTTCTACATTTCTTCCGTATGTAACCAGGATCAAACCAGGACTGATATTGTTACAAACTGTTCAGACAACAAACTTCAACATATTTGTAAAAATAAACAAATAAACAGTGAAGCGGAGGTATAAATAAATAAATAAATAAATAAAATAAATGAGGAAATGAATAAATAAATAAACAATAAACAAACAAATAAATAGATAAATAAATAAATAAATAAACAAATAAATAAATAGACGAGTCGGAATGAATGAATGAATTAAGGCCTTATTCGTTCGTTCCGACGAACGATTCGTTGTTCGTTCATTCGCTCGCTCGTTGGTTCGTTCGTTGGTTCGTTGGTTCGTTCTATCGCTCGGTGCCCCGGGCTACGTCCTATTCAGTTAGCTTTTTAAAAATAGCTATTGGATATCAACCAGATAGGATTTGCCTGTATCGCAGATAAAAGATATCACCAATATCTTCTCTGTTGCTGCGGCAAATTGCATGACTCGTCAAGTTTTAATTGTATGTGTTAAAACAACTGACAAGTTCCCGCGCTAGCGATTGGCTGATTATTGGTGGATTCCGAGATCAAAGTCCAAAGTCCACCCAATGAATGAACGCATAAAGTATTCAAACTGTATTGATTTTCGTAAATCTCTCGTAGAGAACTCGTGGTACCAGACGTGTTCTTGTTCGCTACAGTTTTTAATTTCCTTGATAACTTTGCTTTTTTGCCGCAATTTCGAAGCCGCAAGTTTTGCATTAGAAAGATAACATCGAGAGTGGAGACTGGAAACAAACTGAGGTGAGCAAAAATGGCGCCCGTCGTATCAGAAGGAAAACGTACTTAGACAAGTGCCAAGATTTAATTCAAAACTCGCTTTATTTACGTCTCGATAACCTCGATAACGCGTGAGTTCTTTCCATTGCAGTTGACTGAAGGACTTCGTATGTTGGGTTTAGCTGCAAGGCAGCTATCGAAAGCAAAGGTGAGCCAGGAAGTTGTTCTTCACAATCTAAATGTATTTCTCGCATTGTTGTTTTTTCCACGTCATACGGTGTGGCCGGGGGTGTGACTCTGTGAAGTAGCTCACAGTACATATAGCTTAGAGAGTCTTTTAAATAACGTTTTAATGAAATAATTTTCGAATACAAAGCAGTCGTAGAATTAAGTTTATTATTTTACTGAGCACTGACGTCTGCACCTGTGACAGTGTGCGTCACAGATCCTCGACAGAAATACCAAGATTTAATTTCCAGCTACATGCAACGATGGACTGAAAATTAAAGTAGATTTTTGTATAAACACCAGTGAAACACCAGGATTTTCCCTTTTACTAAAAAATCATATCTTCATCGCGCGCAGTGAAGATACTATTTTTATCTTTCACACTGTGAAGATGTCATTCCTTTTTGCAGGACGTAACATGTCGATCAAAATCGATCATCGAAAACGTAGTCGATAAGTCGATAGTACTCGATATTTGTCGATAATTGTCAATCGACAAGT